GTTGCAAAACTGAAAACGTTTTAGGGTGATTCATAAGTCTTGCACTGAGCATCACGAAAAAATTGTGGATTTGTGAAAAAAAAAGACGTGAATGCATTAGCTGAAAGTATCGGTACTAGAACGCAAATTTTCTTCCTTTTTTTCGGTGTATCGCCCGAGCTAACTTGACGTTATCATCAGCATCCGATCCTGAATCACGGCTGGTGAACACACTCTTTGTTTCGCATTCAATTTCCAGCTCATCATTTCTTTTATCCAGGGCTGTTATTGAATCATATGACAATAGCGCTTTCGAATTCTGCCTCTTCGATGTATTTTTGTGGCGTTTGGTCGGGCATAAATTATGCGAAAGCATCAACTCTCGCTCGCCCTGATTGCATTTGCGTGGAACGGCAGAGGCTATCCCGACTACACAAATAGCCAACCATCTGTTTTCACTCCGTTTACACTGCCGAAATTTCAGTTTTCTCTGAATTCACATCATGAAATGAAAACCCGGTTCCCTCGATTTCTATGTGACACTTACCGCACGTTATTCGAGTCAGTTCGCATTGTCTGGCTGTATCGCCTTTCACCCGGCCATGTCAAGTGCATGTTGCCGTACAGGTGTTGTTTACCCGTTCCCCCGTGATGTGTTAAACAAAGATTGATTTCTCAAAATTCGTTATCAACTCGGATTGAACAGCGCCTATTTTCCCCGGAGTGCAGGACAGGACAAAGTACGCCAGCGCACCGACGTCAGCGTTCTCTGGCGTCTCCGCGAGCACCCGCAGTGTAGCGGATCTGCTCGGCCCCCTGGGTGCGCTGCCCGGGTAAACTCTCGCCGGGGCTCACGTGGCCGCTCCTCTGAGCAGCACATTCGGTAAACATCGACACGCGAAGCACGAGCTCCGCCCCCTCCGCAGGACGGAAAGCCGCACATTCGTTTCGACGAGTTACTCTTCGACTGCTGTTTGTACCGAACAGTTGCTCTCGGCATTTGTTTGAGCTTTCGGATCCTTATTGTCTAACGGCTTGGTAGTGGTGGCCTAAGGTTATAGAACAAAGTTAATTGTAGAGTAACTTTAATTATCGTCATAAGTGAAAGTAATGGTATATTCTTTTTGTGTCTATCTACCTTCTTTTCCATTCACAAAGGGTTAACACTAGGCGGTGTAGGTTTTCGTGTAGGGATAGATACGCCGTAGAATGCTGTAACTGAATTTGGCATTTACATCTGCTTCACGAATTTTTGAATAGTATTGCGATCGTTTTTCTCGGAATTAATTGGGGTTGGGATTATGATGTAGATTCGCCTGCTCTTTCGATCTCTAATTTTGTTTGATAAATTCAAATATAATATTCGTTGATGTATTTTTTTAGCCAAAATTATAAGAATTTTAGCAAAGATATTATACCCACACACCTTCACAAAAAAAGACAGATTTGAAATCAATGTTTACATCGTACGGTGAACATTTCATTCCCAGCCAGGACTCGAAGTGTTTCCCCCGTGTAAATCTTGACTGGCAACTGGCATTGACAGCTCGGCGCTACTTGCATAGGTGCATTATTTGTTACCAGAAACAGAGCCGAAATCTCTCGTAGGTCATGTTGAAAGCATAGTAATGTCGTCAAAATTTAGCTACTTCTAGGTCAGCAAAAATTGAATAATCTCTCGTCTTATTGACGAGGGCAGAAGTCAACTTTTGATACGTTTTTGAAAGCCCTAGTATTGGTTTCCTATGCTACAAATCTTAATAGTCTCAAGTCGGAAATCTTGGATTACCCATGTGAGCCGTCTATTTACGATTTATTTGCCTTTCATATTATTACAATTTGCGGCACCCAAACAAACTGATCCATTCTTTTAACGTGAGTGATCTTACTCTTTGCCAGTTGCAAGTGCCAAGCTTCTTCTGAAATTCGCCTCTCCATCTCCTTAGGGCCAGTATGTCGAGTTGTGTTCTCTCCATGGCTTCTTGCATGTAGTTGGACTTCGTTTGGCAGGCGTCTCACGTTGGATGTTCTGATGTGATAACAGTCGTTGTTGGAGTGGAACATACTTGATCCTGCTGTTCCGGGGCTTCCTGGATCAAGGGGTTCGACGTCCGGTAGGGTGGGGAAGAACGGTCAAAATGACCGACCAGTCGAGGGATGTGTAGAAGATGAACTATCCCACTCTGACAGGGCTGTCGAGAATGCCTCACCACTTAGCTATCATCCAGGCTTAGTTTGACACACTATGGTTCTCCCAGCACTGCACAGCTCACTGCTTCGGTGCGAAATTTTGTCTCACCCGGAATTCTTTGCATATCTTTTGCTCAGCGACTTCCAGCTCAGACCTCGTGCTCGTCTGTCTAACCTAAGCAATCACTGCAGTTGTCGAGGTGGATATTTGGTGACGTCGCTGAGCGACGAAAACACGCGCCGGCGCGGCTGTTTTCGCCGTCGGCTGCGGTCGACATCGGATGTAAACAGCTGTTGGATGTGGTTATGTGTCCCCACCGCAGTCTACCTTTGTGATGACATGTCATCAGAAGTGATGCAATGACTATCGCAGTTGAAGCCACACCGTTCATAGTCATTTTTTGAGGGCTGGCAATTTTTTTTGGGAGTCTGTAAACTTTAGGTACCTACCCTGGCAGTATTCTTAGCATCTCCAGTTCTATTTTGAGCACTATGTTTATTGCACAAGTGTTCAACTGTTTACTGTGCAGTGACAAACAGTCAAGATACATTTCAATTGCAATCACTTATGCGACTTTTTTACGACTTGAGGTGCTCTCTCGCTTTGTTATCTTACCCGACCGATACAAGTTTACGATCTGATCAGTAGCGTGGGCTCGTGATACGTGTAACCAGTAATTTTTCCGGTCGAGATCGGCTCTGATTAAGTGCGAGTGCACTTTCGATGACATAAAAGATTGGGCTGTAGTCTTTCGATAAACAAATTCCAAAGATAGTTCTATGTCACTATTTGTTTAGCTTTTGTGCCCCTTTTTTGGACGTTCGAAGCAAAACCTAAAATAGACCATATGACAATGACGCATTTTCCAAACTTACTTGATCATAGCCCTCTCTTATGGTGGCTCTTGCTGTCAGTGACTATCTTTCTACAATCATCCAATCGTTATCAATCCAGTCTTTTTCAGATGATCACATAGATGCGTATATTTTCTTATCGCACAATAGTGTAAGACTACTATAAAAAGATCTGAGTATTGTTTTGTTCGTCCAAGTTCGTCCAAAAGACTGTTACCATTGAGGACACAAAGAGGCTGCTTCACCAAACACTCGGCACTCGGCACTCGGCATAGCTTTGGTTGGACGAGGGCAAGCCTACAAGGGGATAATAGGAACCAGCTGAGTTATAATTTCCTATAAAATAGGCCGGGAAAACATTTTGACCAAATTTACGTTTCCATCTTTCATAGGCTCCCGCATGTTGTACATGTAGACGCACATGTAAGTTCCAAGCACAAGCTGTCACACTAAAATAGAAAAATGAAGCAGCTGAATTGTGGCAAATCCGCCCCTTCTGACTCTGGGCTCCTCCTACTTTCAGCATGAACCGCTGTCGTGCACAAAGACAAATTTTCACTTTCTGAATCAGGGCTCGGCACGAGGTGGCTAGATGAAAATGGAAAAAACGAAGTCCCCTTTGACCCTCAACCATTTCCTCTAAAAACCTGAAAAATTCCCCAAAATCCCCCAAAAAACGAAACGTCGACTAAAAAAAACGTCGCCAAGTCGCCAATTTTGCGTCTCTCTTCGGTCATAAAAACGAAACCCCCTTTGCTTTTTGTCCCAAAAACGATACCCAGCTTGCTTACAAGCCAACTGTGCCGAGCCCTGATACATTCAGAATCTGAATGTATCACATCTTGAAAATTAGCAATTGTAGCTTTGAACTGTCCAAATTCTCTGTCAACTAATATTACCTTACAACAACCATAATAGTGGAATTTCACCATTATAAGCCAATCCAGTGCGAATTTGGCTTGAGCAATTCTTACCCATAGCATTCATAATGTGATTGTAATTGTTACTTTTCAGCTGTGTACTAGAACATTTTTTCAAAAGCGTGACAGGAAATGGAATTTTATCAATCACGATGTCTGATGCCTAAGATAGCACTAAGTTAATAAGCGGTCTGAATGGTTTTACTCCCATCATTGCTCTATAAATTGTTTGCCTAGTCTTGGCTGTCTGTCTTTCTTCTCGGAGAGTTATGTGATCTTCATACATAGTTTGGAAGTCTGTAAATTTTGCACTCCTCATTTCACAAACCATTGGCTTTATCCGTCTAGCATACTCCGTAAGCAGAATGTCAACGTTTGTGATCAGTTCGTGTGAATCCGAGAACAAAAGTGTGTGTAAGATCAAAATTTTCTTGATCTCCTGACCACCCCTTTATCGTGAGTGGTCAGCTCTCACACCAATTTCGAATTTCGCTGGCTCCTGCTTCCGTCCGCCTGCTCCGTGCTTATCACTGGCTGTCGCAGTAACGATGTGTCAGCCCCCTTCACTGTCCTTTTTCACGTGCTGTTGATTTTTCCCGTTGTGCTTGGCTACGCACAGCACTCGCTCCACGACTGACACCCATCTGTGCAGATGGCGGGTGGATGCAGTGGCTCAATGATCTTCTTTGTTTGTATGAAGTTTTTCCTGATTTGTGGCTGCTTTTCTATACCATTTTTAACCACTTGGAGGAAAATTGCAGAAACTTCTGTCCAAATATATAATTTGTTTTTGGAATCTACTGATTTTGCCTAAAATCAGGTTGAAAGTAGAAAATCGCAATTTCTTCCTCAGTCGTGATCCTCTCACTTGGTTAAGAAAGTCCTTCTCAAGCCAGCTTCGAGCTCTATTGAAAAAATCCATTCGAAACTATAGTTCAAAGCGAAAGGTGTTATCTTTTTTACTGCAATCATATTTTTCTGATTCGGTGATCAATGTTCGTCTATCTCATTTTATTTTTATTTTGACCAACTACCATCAAAATGGCTGACCATTTTAGACATATCCGAGCCGTCACATCTCTGCCAATTAATGTCAACATCGTCCGTGCAAGCCGAAAGGTAATTGAAATTTTTCCAGTATTTTTCCAACTTATTTTGGCTTCCTAGATTGCATTTTCACAATAAAATTCTCGAATTTCAGCGACTTGTCCACCGTACTTCCCTCATGCTCTAGCTCAAATGTTACCCTCAATAATGATGTGCTCACAATGATTTTCGAGAAAGTGGCTACATTTGGAAATATCAAGGATGTTCTGGAATTGAGAGTGAGTTTTAATGATTTTGTTTTCGTTTTATAAAATTATTTGTGAGCTCTTTTAGACCGTTTCCTCATGGGCAGCATACGGAATTGATCGCTCTCTAACGAGAAATACACATATCAAAGTCGATATCCGTTCTCCAATAGAATTTCGAATTACTGGACTCAAGAAAGAGAAACTGCCCGTACCAGAGCCAGTGATCTACATTCAGGTAGGATCACAAGAAGTTTACAGTCTATTTGAAGTCAAAAGTTCTCAGTTTAGGGATCCCGAGTAACTCCTAAAGCTGCCATCAAACTTCTAAAATTTCTCATTGGCAAAATGCGAACGATCACAGAACTCTCATTGAACATCGAAGATTCCGATCTAACCACTTTCAATGCACTTTTAGATCAGCTGATACAAGCTGGTAGGTTGACAAATTTTCACTTGACCGGTACATCGAAAGTTCAGATTTTTTTGCAGATAACGTGAAACTTGAAGTTCTACGGCTGAAGAGAGTAAAAGGTGGTCAGAGCATACCCAAAGTCTGTGATCTAATCATGGCAAATGCTGATACATTGCGAATTGTTGGTCGAATTGGACTTTCTGAAGCACGTGCATTAAATTCATCTGTGAGTTTGATATCTTACAGTAGTTACTGACTTTTTAAGTATTGGACCCGCCTTGACCGACGATTTGGGATCTGTTACTATCTATGGTCATCAAAGCTGATTTTTTTCTCATTTCTCGTTGCCAAGGCAATATCTGGGGCATTATTTATAACGAAATTCTGCTTACTAGATTAGAGTAGTCCTTTTTATTCGTGGGATACTGTTTAGCACTGTTTCTAGTTGTCTGTAAATCAAGAAGTCGGGAGTTCTGACCGATGGATCTCAAAACTTACGAATATTGAAAGGTAGAATTTTAGTGATAACTTTCTACTTGAGCACTACTAACCCTGCACAATACGTTCCAATTTCCTGTGGGCTCAAATTGTTCTGTTTTCAGATACATTTGGAACGTTTGTCGCTGATGACGTTTGATCTCGGTTTTGAAGCATCGCATACGGATATCTGTGAACATATGCTTGCTATTGCTAGAAGTGGAACCACATTCAAGCACCTGTCTTACACGAGCTTTGTTGGGTTTGATCCTACAGATGACGTTGTTCAGGTACGCGAACGTCTCTTAGCCTTTTTTGCACAAAAATCAAATTTTTTTGCTTCTTGTTTTAAGCTGTAATTGGAACTCACTTGTTAAGCGATGACCTTCTAATGTGAATTTGGTTTTCTGTTTTCTTGGATTTTCTAGAACTGAAAATTCTAAAACTGGGTTAGTGACAAAAAATTGTGAAAGTAGCTCGAAATATCACCAATGTTTCTGATGAGGAGTGCTGGATGCGTGTGGCTTGAGCTGCAAATCACCAAGCTGTTGTTCAGCTGGATGGATTATTGGCCGAATGATTGGTAGTTTGGTCGCTCGCGTCACGCCCATCCAGTATGTGTTGCGTCCTAGGTCGACTTCTGCACATTTTCGAAGCCGCTGTGGAGCAAAGTTCATACACAGGACTTAAAAGTCTCATCAGAAAAATATAGAACATAATTGAAAACTCCACTGTCCTTCCACTGTCCACTGCTGCTAATTTTGTCGTTAAAGGCACCGTCCACCCAAAATCTCGAGTTCAATGTTTTTCTCGCCTTCAGGCCTTCTGAAAGCCCTGATTCCGAATATGGAGTCGAAAATCCGCGAAACCTTTGAAAATCCCTGTTTCGAGAACCCTCTGCAACAAGCGCAGGCGAAATAAAGCATGCAAGTGGGCGGGGCGAAAAGGGTCGCCCCGCCTACTTTGCTACTTTCGGAGCGATTTCTCGCTCCAGAAGCAGTCTTTTGCGGCGAAGCTTGGAGGTTTGTCTAGTATGGGGGCCCATATTAGTATGCCATCATAATCTCGCCAACCTCCATTTTGGGTGGACGGTGCCTTTAAAGGCAGTGGCTCAGCAAATCTCAACCTAGTCAAATTTTTGCTTACCTGGAGTTTTTCAATACGCTAATCTCGAAGGCCCACTTCTGAGAGCTTGAAAACGGCGAAAACGAGCATTTTTCAATGCCCTTCCCCTCGGAATTGGACGAGTGGAGCAACTGATGATGCTGTATCGTGGCGGGACCCAATGCTTATAGCATTGCGGCGGGCAGCTTCCAATGGTGAGAAGGAAATTGCCAACTCGTCCGGACGCGTGTAAGATTGGCCTGCGCGTGTAAGTTTGAGAGCAATTTTCTCGGCAGGGAAGGCATGCTGTGCAACCAAGATTGCGCTGTTCTCATACTTAGGCGCTAAGGAATTTACCGCGTTAAAATCCTGAGTAGTTGAGTTTTGCCGATCCACTGCCTTTAAGCAGAGTTGAAATGCTAAATGTTATCGTGAATGGCAAAATGAATGAATTAGCGGCCCATAAGAGGCAATGTAGCATAACACAAAAATCCGTAACGTATTGATTTGAAGCTCAAAAATGTCTTTGACAAGTGAGAATCACAGTGAGAATGTAATAAAATTTTCAGACATTCCTTGACCGCTGCCAAGTGACGAGTCTTCGCTTGACGATGATGCGAGGTCCTTACATTCCACCTCAGCCAGATTACATGGTCGGAAAGGTAATGGTTCATTTTTCCCTCCAATTCTGAGATCAGCTGAACAAAGTAATTTAGGTACGCCAAATAGATCATCTGGAGCTGGGCGAAGTGGTTGACAAGCCGAACATCTTCAACTCGCTGGTCACCTACGAGAAAGTTTTTAAGAAAGTTTTCCCAAGCGTACAGGACATCCACTATTTCCAGCACTGGTAACCCTCGTATGTGCCCCTTACTGTATATAGACCCTATTTCCTCACCAGAAATTTCCCTCCGACTTCTATCCGTTGACCTCATTCATTCGAGGAGCTCTGTTCGTTTCGGTGCTGTGTTCATTGTTGTATCCTTGTGACGAACGGTATCTCACCCGCTGTTGATTTACCGCAAATTTTTAGAGATTTCTATGAACCTGATGTATGTGCGATGAGCTGACCTAGGTTACATAGCACGATCTCTGATCTCAACTCTGTATATTGTTATAATTGTGTATATTGTACATATTCTAGAGATCATCAGACTTGTACACATTTACGACTTTAGAGGCTTTCGCATTAGATACGGTTAGGGTTTTCATATAGCTTTGTTGTTATGAATCTTTTGAGGTGCAAGTTGTTCCAGCAGTACGCACAATAGAATTTTGAACTCGAGAGAGCAAATTTCATAGTTGCGATTTTAATGCAGAAAATGATGGAACATGAATACGGGTTGCAGCAGTCTATCTTGAGAAAGGAAAAAGTTCTCAGTGTTAGGAAACATTGCCGCGAGTTTGTGAAATATTGCTATTAAAAAGTTAAAACCGATTTACAGTAACTCCCTTATTCTTTGAACTCAGTATCGGCTTGGATCTTGCAAAGTCATGCACCCTAAAACCTTGTGCGTTAAATCGCTTTTGCAGGCTCTAACTATTTTCCTTTAAACGTTTGTTTTTTTCGAAGCTGCTTGATTTTCAATTCTCTGCGGTGGGTTTATTTGTGTGCGGACTTATCTAGAAGATTTTAGGAATTAATTCTTTTCTCTAAATGTCTGTTGACAGTCAGTCCGCTAATGTTCACATCTAGCAACTGCGTCACCAAAGTGACATTGTTGAAAGAGAACAAACAGGCGATCACGAGCAGTGGCTCATCACTCTGTTTTTCTGTCCGACAAGCAGGACAAAAAAAACTCGGAGAGTTGATTGGTTGCTTGGAATTCTGCTAATTTGATTGGTAGGGTTTCGACAATTTTCAAGAAGCAGCCTGTGCAGAAACCCTTCTTTCTGGTTCGCATAGCACTGCTAAGCCACACATAATACAAAATCGTGGCTTCTTCATGAAAAGTGCTGTGCCTCTGAATCGAGTTGTTCAAAAAGTTTTCCCCACTTGCTGCAATCAACGAAAGCTTTTTTCCCCAGAAATGTCGTTGTGGGAGTGGTGGTACATATAATCGCATGCAAAGGGGAGATTATTTAGTGCAAGGGTTCCCGAACATTTTCCTTCAGAAATCAGTGAGCCTCACTCAACTTATGTTTAGCCCGAGATGTAGTAGGACAGCACAAACTTTTCTCACTGTAGTCGATCTCCGACTAAGCGGTAGTACAGCACTAATAATTATTTCAGTGCTTTTATTCAGAAATCCTCTGCGGAAAAATTCGAGAAAAGCCAGTCTATTCGATTCTTCCTACCTGGACTTCACGATTTCGATCGCCCTCGATCTGGCAATTTATCCAATATTGAAGGACTAAAAATGAGCGTGTATAGATAACTCGCGTAGGTCGCTAGCACTCTCTACCTTTCAACAATTTTGGATGCGTTTACGATAATTTATGGACGGAATATTGCCGAATTGCTCTGCAGCTTAAATCGCTCAAATTATGCACGGGGCTTTAGGGGTAAAAAACCCTCGTTCTTTTTCGTTTCCGATTTTTTCGCCGCTGTTACTTGGGAAATTGTTCTTTATCTATTACTAGATGTTCTAGACCCAGTTTCACGATAAAGAACAAAAGTTAATGGCTTGCGTGTAACGATTTCTGTGCGAATTATGAGGACTAGAACGACAAACCATATTTGGGATCAAAAGGCTCACAATCAAAATTTTGTACAAATCACATTTCGATACCAGAATTCACCAGCAAATATACGTGTCTTCATAAAAATCCACTACCTGCGACTTCTTGCAGAGCAAAAAGAGAAAAAACTACCTAATAGTTCGCTTTCTAAGGTGCGCACCACGAATTGAGCAAGCTTTATGACCACGAATAAAAAACATTCTAAAGATTTCAGTACCGTCTAAAAAAGCTGTATGAAAACGAGAAATGAAAGAATTCTTCAGATTATGTAAGCTATGTCTATAAGTACGATTTTTCTTCCAAAATTAACCATAAGAAATAGGCCTTCACGGCAACTCAATACATAAATTTTTTACTTGACAGTGGAGCGCAGTACATAGTTATTTATCTTGTCCCTACAAGATCTCTAATGGATCACTCATTGATGCAAAACACTGGTCGGTTTTGACCATATCCTTGACACAACAACACTTTAGAAAATTAGTTTATTATAGATAAAACTATCACAGCTCATACTGAAATGCATGCATATTCTCTGTACACCATGAGATCGTTAGTATTCGCTAAGTGTAGGGAAATGGTTAAAACAATCAAGTATGAGATAGAAGTGATTCTTACTAACAATGGTGAGAGTGACATTTCGCGTGCTTCATCTTCCTCAATTTTCTGAGATAAAGTTCACAAGGGTCTGGTTTGCAATGCTTCATCCTGCAAGGCTTGGGTTTGCATGGAAGCTTTTCTTCAGCTGGCTCATCAAGAGCAATCGGGGTCTCCTCTGGTGCTGGCTTTACTGGATGTGGTGGGGCAGCTGTAGTCCAATAAGCCTTTGCGGCTTCTTCGTTGAGCACGTAACTGAAAAAAAGACTTGAAAAAAAGAAAGCGAAACAAGAAGTGGTAACTCACCTTTCTTTTTTGGGAACAATCGGCTCTTTTACGATTTCGTTCGGGATAGGCTGCGCTTTTGCTGGAAGTGGAGCCGCAGTTTTTTCGATCTTAGCTGTAGCCCAATAAGCACGCGCTGCATCCTCGTTCAAGACATAGCTGAAACTAGCACATGAAAACGTGGACGATTTGGAATTCCAAAAGCAAGGCTACCCAGGCGTCACAGGCTTGGGAATTTCAACTTTTTCTATTGGTGCTTGTTCCGGAACAGGTATTGGAACGGCAGTGGTCACTTCTTTGATTTTCTTCCAGTACATCTTACCCGCATCTTCTTTCAGTTCTTCCCTGAACAAGATCATCTAGCTATATCATTTTGTCAACGGATTAGTCATACTTCCTAGCTTCCTTCTTCGGTGGCTTCTCAATCAGAGGCTTCTTAGGCTTGACTTCTACCACTTTTTCCACGACGACGACGGGTTCAGCTTTTGCGACTGGCACTTCCATTACAAGTTCTTGTGGAGGCGGAACTGGTGTCGTCTCGACTTCTTTCACCACATATCTACAAGAGAAAAATAAATCATATTTGTGTCTTTTATACATTCACTTCTACTCACTCTGTCACGACTTCCTTCACTGGCTGCTCCTTCACTACTAATTCTGGGACTGGTGCTGGTGGAGCTGCTTCTATGACTGGTTGAGAAGCAGGTAACGGTGCCGCAGTAGTTCTTTCGAACTTGGCGGTGGCCCAGTATTTCTTTGCCGCTTCTTCGTTGTGAACGTACCTATAAAACAGAAGTTTACAAACAAGAAGATATCATCTATTCGAACTCTCACTTCCACGCTTTCTCCTTCGGCTTCTGTGGAGGTGGTACCTTCGGTTTAGGTTCTTTCACTGGCACTACCTCTACAACAGGCTCAATGCGTGCAACTTCTTCCACGACTGGAGCTGCTGTCGTAGGCGGTGGAAGAGGAGCTGCCGTTGTCTCGAATTTGGCAGTAGCCCAGTACTTCTCAGCTGCCTTCTCGTTTAGAACATACCTGCAAATGAAAATGGTTCTCCTTACATGCACTCTCATTAGATAACCCTACGTCGACTTTTTGGTCTCCTTAACTGGCTTCTTTGGTGGCTTAGGCTTAACAATATGTTCCTTAACTGCCTCATGGTTGAGTATATACCTAGAAAGCTTTTCTTCGAACAAAGATTGGGATTTTATTCGAAGTCCACTTACTTCATCGTAGTAGTCGATGGGAGCGTGGGCAGTACGACTAGTGGTGCCCCGGTTGGAGCCAACATAGGTGCTTCAGTTGGAGGTAGGGTAGGTGCTTCAGTTGGAGGTAGGGTAGGTGCTTCAGTTGGAGGTAGGGTAGGTGCTTCAGTTGGAGGTAGGGTAGGTGCTTCAGTTGGAGGTAGGGTAGGTGCTTCAGTTGGAGGTACTGTAGGTGCCTCAGTTGGTGCCACCGTAGGTTCAGGCGGAGCCGCTAATGGCATCTCGGTTGGAGCAGTTGTAGGCAGTTCAGGTACCTTCTCCGGCTTCCATTTCAGTTCCTTCTCCTGCTTAGGATACACTCTGAATATCCTCTTCGTCTTTGAGCGCACTTCGATGATGGGCCGTCCATAGCGGTCATGCTTCCCATCTTCACATTTGTGGTTCGGTCCTACTTTGCATTTCAACACGATTTCTGGTTTTGGACCTTCCTGGCCATCTTTGTGCTCAACAGCTGCAAATAACAAATCGCAAATATAGACTACTGCTAGAGCCAGAAAACTTACGTTTAGCCAATGTTAGCACCAGTATGACGCAAAATGTCAGTAGTGTCAGTAAGTTCATCCTCTATCTGAAAAACACGTGTTGATACATAAGGAATTTTTACCAACACAGAAACGTAACCACTAAAGAAGATGAGATGCTGATGGTTGATGCCACCCTTGGTAGCCTATTTATAACGCTGCTGATCCCGCCAGATCATGACCAACATTTTTTTGATCTCCAGTGTGACGCCAGTCAGGCCTGTTCAATGTTTCTGCGTGTCTTGAAGTGGTACTTCTTCAAAGCATCTCCAGCCACTTGCTCCCTTGATGTCTATAACTCTTTTAGCCCCTTACATGGGTTCGCATGGACGTTTAAATCATTTTGTCAAAAATACTTTAGGCAGGCGCTAAACTCCTCTGATCAATAGCGACGCTGAAACCTTTGATGTTTCCCCCTCATAGAATTCTCATTGGATTTTTAGCTTTTGTAGGGTTCCGTGTAAGAGCGTTGGTGAAATCTCCAAATCTTATGCGCCTCTTCAACATGTCATCTTTCTTGCACAAATGAAGCTTTCCACGAAGTAGTTTCACATTCATCGCAGTTTTACATCATTCTCTTAGAAATTTCTTCCACTTGTTGACAGTTGTGATCGTTGTGAGAAGATCACAACCGTTGTGCTGTGATCTTCTTGCGATATTATACAGGGTGTACCAAAAAATTTGCCTACTGTTTGATGTTAGTCACTCTCTTGTTATGAAGTCTTTCGAGAAGTTTTAGGCACCATTTTGTAGAGCTGGCCTTAACTTAGATTTACAGCGTAGAGCAAATCATCTATCATTCTTCATTACTGTACACTTTCGGCGTATGGCATACGTGAAAAAGCTGCCATTATAAATGTTTTTTAGAAAATCCAAGAACTTGTGTAATAGGTTTTTCATGGACGCCGAGTTTGAGAGTCAAAACGATGTAGCCGCATTTTTAACCAACATTGAGAAAACGGCTGCTACTGCTTGACTGGCATAAATTTCTAAGAAAGCATTATAACAATATGCAAACTTCATTTTCAGCACTCTAATTAGCCTAGTTTAAGAATTTTCAGATCGTTTTCTTTCTTTTCTGAGCCAAGATATGACCCTCCTTGGCTCAAAGCTCCTTCAAAGCTTTTACCGTAATCCTACAAAAATGAAGAAAGTTGTGCCTTCTATACTGTAAATGTCAAGGCCAGCTCTACGAATGATACCTAAAGCCTTTCCAAAGACTTTATGGCAAAAGAGTTATTAATAATCGAAAAGCAAGCGCAATTTTTTCCGGGAGCCCTGTAATACAGATTTGGTAGAGTAGGGCATAAAGATGGGGGCTCACGAGAAAAGCATGATGAATATCGCTTTTGCGTCGGCAACCACATATTCTTAAATTTTTGTTGCCACTTTCACTTCCCCGATCTGTTTTTGAAGGGGTCCGGAAAAACTTACAGTATATTTTACGGCTGCAATTTTTTGTATTACACTTTTCTTTTTTGGCGGGAAACAAATTCACTATCTTACAGATAGCTATTGGGCTGGTATAATCACAATCATTTACAAAACAGTGTAAAATCAAAAATCCGACGTACCTCTAATTGTTTGGCCCTTTCCATAAGGAAAAAGGACATTAAAGTGAAAGTGAATGAATGACCATTTTCTCGTATCCAGGGCTCAGCACGAGGTGGCTAGCTGAAAATGCAAAAAACGAAGTCCCCCTTGACTTTCGCGATTTTTTACGAAGTCCCCTTTGACCCTAGACCAGGGCTCGGCACGAGGTGGCGTCCGAAATTGCAAAAAATGAAGTCCCCTTTGACTTCAATGAAATTACGACATCCGCCACGAGATATTCGAAGAGAAAATACATGAAATGGAACGGAACAAAGCAACAGTAGGAAAAAAACGAAAAAGAATCATCGAACACACGCGATGATATTCATATTCTCCGGATTGGCGGCATGATGTATCCATCGTGCAGCAATACGCGCCTAGAGCAGCCTTTCCGCCGCCATTCAAAATTTTCGAGGGGCTATAACTAAGCGGGGAGAAGGGGGTTTGAGGCGGTTTAGGAACCAGTTTGTAGGGTTTGGGATGTAGATGAAAAGTATGTAAAGAAAGTAGAAAAATTATGTGAGGGAGGAAAAATTTATGACTTTTTCTTTCCTAAGCCACCTCAGGTGGCTATCCAGGTGGCTTGAAAGCCACCTAACTCCGAAAAAAGTTGAGCACGCCTTTAGTTCACATAATTTTTTCATAATTTTTCATACTTAGTCTTAACTCCCCATTGCCCATCTACACACTTATTTTGGTGTCATTTCATCTTCACTTCGCTGTAAACAAACCCTTTGTTTATTTGCTAGCGGCATGCCGGCAGCGTGCCGGCCGCAGATCGAAAGACAACGTTATGCTCTTCCGCAATAACGATATCCCCTTTGCTTTTTCCCCAAAAACGATATCCAGCTTGCTTGCCAAGCCACCTGTGCCGTGCCCTGCTCGTATCTTGATAAGATATTGGGAAAAATGTTTTTGTCCACGAATTCGTAGATATTACAATGAACGTGGATAAGCCGTCGAAATCCTCAAGTTTAAGAAGTAGTTTTTGGGAATGAAACACTTTTCTAACAGTTTTTAAGGGTTATTGAGATCGACATCTTTGCAAGTATTAATGCTGTTCAATATTCTACTATCTTATCACATACAGTGACCGCCAAAAAGTTGCGGACAAGCCTCCCTCCCTTTTCATCGCTCTTTTTCAGAGGGAAAACAAGGATGAAAAAATGTAATAATTGCATGGGGTGATAGAGCTCTTCAAGATCTACAATCTACACTTTGAGTTTCTTGAGAAACATGTGTTCTAAAAATTTTAAGAATCTTTTGCTAAAAAAAGTCCGAAAATGGTCGCGTCACAATGTCGCGGACAATAATTCTTCGAACGCAAAAATTTTCTTTTGAGTCCTATTTTGAAGCGGAAACACAAGTTATCCGGACGGGTAAGCATACTACTATACAGATCCCGTCAAGAACTACACACTGGTTATGGTTGCTTCCCCAAAAAACGCAAGCTTGAGTTTTATTTTAGTTTTTTCAAGAAACAACTTCTAATTCCCTTTATCAAGCCAAATTTCTTCACACGGAAACCTGTTCAAGACATCCCAACAAAGCCATCTGGATAAAAGAGATGCTCTTTGCCATCCTCTATGCATCGGACGTGTGCTGATGAGTTTCTTTGCTGAAAATGGCCCTTGGCAGCTTGCACATGAGTCCACCTGCACCTCATCACTGACTTGTACCGCTTTGCAGGCTTGTAACTCGGCCTGCAGTTAATGTTTGAGCCTGCAATTAGGCTCGTTCGAAAGAACGAGACTTCCTCTACACCATAGTATGCAAATAAGTTCAGATTGAGCAATTCCAGAGATTTGGCGGATGGGGTGGTAGAGGGCAGCTCCAGTTGTAGTCTAAGCACTTTTCAGCTAAAGATGAAGAGAACTCCTTTCGCTACCAATTTCATCCTGGAAGTTCAAAACTGTCAATTTTCTTGTTATAGATCCATTTCGAAGTTCTGGTGTTCATAGGAGCTTTCACTCCAATCACCTCTAAGGCTGCACTTTTTCACCACATCCGCCAAATCTCTGGGATTGCTCAAGCTGAACTTATTTGCATACCGTCGTGTAGAGGAAGTCTCGTTCTTTCGAATGAACCTAATTGCAGGCTCCAGTTTCGACTGCAGGCCGAGCTACAAGCCTGCAAAGCAGTACAAGTCAGTGGTGAAGTGCAGGTGGGGTCATGTGCAAGCACTGCCAAGGGCCATTTTCAGCGAAGAAACTCATCAGCACACGTCCGATGCATAGAGGATGGCAAAGAGCATCTCTTTTATCCAGACGGCTTTGTTGGGATGTCTTGAACAGGTTTCCGTGTGAAGAAATTTGGCTTGATAAAGGGAATTAGAAGTTGTTTCTTGAAAAAACTAAAGTAAAACTCAAGCTTGCGTTTTTTTGGGAAGCAACCATAACCAGTGTGTAGTTCTTGACGAGATCTGTATAGTAGTATGCTTACCCGTCCGGATAACTTGTGTTTCCGCTTTGAAATAGGACTCAAAAGAAAATTTTTGCGTTCGAAGAATTATTGACCGCGACATTGTGACGCGACCATTTTCGGACTTTTTTTAGCAAAAGATTCTTAAAATTTTTAGAACACATGTTTCTCAAGAAACTCAAAGTGTAGATTGTAGATCTTGAAGAGCTCTATCACCCCATGCAATTATTACATTTTTTCATCCTTGTTTTCCCTCTGAAAAAGAGCGATGAAAAAGGGAGGGAGGCTTGTCCGTAACTTTTTGGCGGTCACTGTATATTGCGATAATTGTACGAAATCAACGAAACTGGATGAATAATATTCTGTGGCTTTTCATGTAGGTTCTGAGGAACTTCCCCCACTTTTAGAATCGTAAAGATCCTTTTGAAAAATCTGTCTACGTTGCTTAAATTCAGTCAACTTTCCTCTCATTACTGGAGGGGTTCAAAAAAAATGTTTTGAGAGTAGAGAGTTCAAATTTATTGGTTAATTCGTTTAAATAATGGTAATTACAGATGACTATTACAGATGCTAAGCTTACTCATGGGATTCTTCGCCATATCTGTTCCAGCTACACTGTCCATATCTTTGCGTCAGGCTCAGGTAAGCAAAAGAGTGGAAAAGCAATTTTTGACTCTAATCTAGGTAGTTTGAATTCGGGTCATTTTGAAGTTGAATAGGTCACAGATATGTGACCAGTCTTGGAAATTAGCAACACGAGGAAACGCTTATAAGCATATTCATAGGAATTTGATGCATGAGTTTTACCCGAGATGTTCCTCTTTTATTAGGTTGTCCGGAAATTAATGTCCGTTTTGAATTTCAACCGCAATAAGTCATACACTTTTCATTCCTGAATAGCTTTCAAGGTACCGTTTGATAGAGCAAAGCAAGCTCTACAAGATGGCTATTTTGCTTTAGCAACAGCTCTGATCCACCTCGAGTTCGAGCCAAAGACTAAAAAGACTGCCCGAAAAATCAAGAAAAATCATAATTCAGTTCGTAAGAATTCTACAAAAATTCTAACTTGCTCACGCAAACACTATCCACATAAGACATATATGTACGCTATTGCCGTATTTTTTCCTCCGTTTGAAATCGAAAAAACGAAAAATTTCATACTTTTGAAAAAGTGATGCTGTGCCGTCCCCACATAAGTAGATATACACTACAAATCTGTAGAAGTAAAAACGTGAATTTTCGGGTTTTTACAAGCTTTAGTTCTCGAGAAATTTGAATTTTAGTTTGGACCACCTGACTAATGAAAGCTATATTCGATATTTCTCGAGAACTAAAGCTTGTAGAGAGCTGGAAATTTACGTTTGTACTTCTACAGATTTGTAGTACACATCTACTTATGTGGGAACGACACAGCATCACTTTGGCAAAAGCATGAATATTTTCGTTTTTTCGATTTCTAACAGAGGAAAAAATACGGCAACGTCGTATATATATATATGTCTTATGTGGATAGTGTTTACGTGAGCAAGTTAGAATTTTTGTAGAATTCTTACGAACTGAATTATGATTTTTCTTGATTTTTCGGGCAGTTGAATCTTTTTGATTTTTTAATTTTTGGCTCGAAACTCGAGATGGATCAGAGCTGTTGCTAAAGCAAAATAGCCATCTTGTAGAGCTTGCTTTGCTCTATCAAATGTTACCTTGAAAGCCATTTAGGAATGAAAAGTGTATGACTTATTGCGGTTGAAAATCAAAACGGACATTAATTTCCGGGCAACCTAATACATTACCATACTTCTTATTTCTTGCAGCTTTTGTTGAGGAATCCACATGCTTTCCCATATTTAATGTCACCATTAGATCCTCCATCCTCATCCGAAGCAGGTATGTTTTGTGATATTCTCATAAAAAAGTTAGCATATCTTGACAGATCTGCCTGAATCTCCCCCTCCTCACGACGATCCTTTGACCTCTTTTCGTCGCAGGTAAGTAGATAGTATTCTATTAGGTACTAGGTAGCAGTGGCGTACTATACTTGGGGAAATTCGAAATTTTTTTCGAATATTCGAATATCGAATATATTCGAAAATCGAAATTTTCGAATATTCGAATCTTATATATTAGGTTGAACCTAAAGTTCGTTCGCACCATTTTCAAAAAATCATAATCTCTTTCCGTCACGACGATTTTGCGCATTTTAAGTTTTATTAGAAAGCGCAAAGCATGTAGTTTCCAATAGTCCCCTGTCTGCTTTCCAGCATGTTCAGATTGCAGAGATAAAAATGAAAGAACGAAAACATCCAAAATTTGGAATTTTTGAGAAACAATTCCAAAAATTTAGAAACTGCTCGATAAAATCCAGAAAAGCCATTATCCTAATTTCTCTTATATTTGATTACTAATTGAGTTAAGTTTGTGCTGATCGAGCTCTTCTTTCAAAAGTTATGATTTTTTGAAAAAAATTCCGAAAAATCACTTTCCTAAGAATTCCTAAGAAATTGATTTTTCGGCATTTTTTTTTCAAAAAATCATAACTTTTGAAAGAAAAGCTCGATCAGCACAAACTTGACTCAGATAGTAATCAAATATAAGAAAAATTAGGATAATGGCTTTCCTGGATTTTATCGCACAGTTTCTAGATTTTTGGAATTGTTTCTCAAAAATTCCGAGTTTCGGATGTTTTCGTTCTTTCATTTTTATCTCTGCAATCTGAGCATGCTGGAAAGTCGATAGGGGACTATTGGAAACTACATGCTTTACGCTTTCTAATAAAACTTATTATGCGCAAAATCGTCGTGACGGAAAGAAGTTATGATTTTTTGAAAATGGTGCGAACGAACTTTCGGTTCAACCTAATATAAAGCTGAATGTCTGTCTGTCTGTCTGTCTGTATGTCTGTACGTATGTGCGGAATAGAAATTTTTATTTCTGAACCGATCGGGACCAAACTTGGCACACATATACTTCGGGGCAGGGAGCGTGTCATAGGCTACTTTTCGTTATCGATCGATATCGATTTTATCGATTTTTATCGATTTTTTTGCTGAGTTCACCTACGGGGCTGGGAGTTGGCACAGGGGGGTAATCGAGCATGGGGATTCCGAATACAATATTGGTTTTCAGGATCATCGATTACTTTTATCGATTTTATCGATTTTTTTGCAAAGTTTGAGCTACGGGGCTGGGAGTTGGCACAGGGGGGTAATCGAGCATGGGGATTCCGAATACAATATTGGTTTTCAGGATTATCGATTACTTTTATCGATTTTATCGATTTTTTGCAAAGTTTGAGCTACGGGGCTGGGAGTTCGCACAGGGGGGTAATCGAGCATGGGGATTCCGAATACAATATTGGTTTTCGGGATTATCGATTACTTTTATTGATTTTATCGATTTTTTGCAAAGTTTGAGCTAGGAGGCTGGGAGTTGGCACAGGGGGGTAATCGAGCATGCTGATCACCCCCAAGGGGGGTGATCAGCATGCTCGATTACACCCCTGTGCCAAATTCCAGCCCCCTAGCTCAAATTTTCAAAAAATCGATAAAATCGATAAAAGTAATGGACGATCTTGAAAACTAATATTGTATTCGTAATCTGCATGTTCGATTACCCACTGTGCAAACTCCCAGCCCCGCAGGTCAAACTTTACAAAAAAATCGATAAAATCGATAAAAGTAATGGACGATCCTGAAAACTAAAATTGTGTTCGTAATCAGCATGCTCGATTACCCCCTGTGCAAAATCCCAGCCTCGCATGTCAAAATTTACAAAAAATCGATAAAACCAATAAAAGTAATCGATAATTCTGAAAACTAATATTGTATTCAGAATCCCCATGCTCACTTCCCCCCCCTGTGCCAACTCCTAGCCCTGTAGGTGAACTCTGCAAAAAAATCGATAAAAATCGGTAAAATCGACATCGATCGATAACGAAAAGTGGACTATGACACGCTCCCTGCCCCGAAGTGTATGTGTGCAAAGTTTGGCCCCGTGCGAAGCCGGGTACGCCAGCTAGTATCGAATAATATTCGAAAATCGAAATTCTTGAATATTCGACTATCGAATATTATTCGAAAATTGAAAATTTCGAATATTCGACTTTCGAATATTATTCGGAAATCGGAAGTTTCGAATATTCGACTATCGAATATTATTCGAAAATGAAAATTTTGAATCGAGTAATATTCGAATATCGAATATCATTCGATATTCAAATTTCGAATATTATTCGGTTCTCGAATGTTATTCGGTTTTCGAATATCATTCGATTTTCGAATACTGATCGAATGATTTACGTCATTGAGACTGCCTATGAAAGGCCAAAACATCCAAGAATAAATTGTTACATGTAAGTCTTAAGAATGGACACTTTCTTATATTACAATTTACGATGGAAAAACGGTTTAGTCGTGACGTGAAGAGACAAAGGAACCTAAAGGCTACTCCTGTGACGGTTGTGAAGAGATTCTTCGTGCTTCAAAGAAGATTATATACCCTCACTGAGAGTTGCGATTGGATATACAGCGGTCCCAACATATGTAGATCGGTGACATCAATTTAGAGTATGGGGCGATTTATCAATCGCATTTCACTGTTGTAAAATTACCGTAAGATTGGCGGGTTTCAAAACATCAAGAGCCATTTCTCCAAGAAAAAGAATCAAAAGGGCCGAAAGTGTTGCATTAGACTTTTAAAAACACTCACTTTGTGTACAATTTGCACTCAACCGTAATGCTTTTTTCAAAAATTACGCCAGGTACACCGGTGTTATGCTAAGCCTTTCAAAAATGTGATTGTCATTTGAAAAGCCTGAAAACTCGTGCGTAGTGAAACTAGCATACGTAAAAACCTGCTGCACAGATCTTAGAGTCCTTTTTTGGGGACAATTTTTTGGATGTCTTATTTTGCAGTTGGTCTATATGCTGGAATTTCCTACCGTGATAACACACAACAAGAAAAACATGGCTGATTCGCTTTGTGCTGCATTTATAAGCTGAAGCCATCCCTAATGGATGTTACCCAAAAATTGGCAAAAGACTTTGAGAGATATTAGCGATCAAACGGTGTGCATACTTTTAAGACATCCGTATACGCTATGCATATCGAATTTTCGAATAATCGGAGCTTATCGAATTTTCGAATAGTCAATTCTTATCGATTTTCCGAATATTCGGTGCTCAACGAATGTTCGAATAACTGATGGACACCGAATGATCGAATGAATGACGCTCGAATATTCGACTATCGAATAATATTCGAAAATGAAGATTTTCGAATATTCGACTTTCGAATAATATTCGAAAATGAAGATTTTCGAATATTCTACTATCGAATAATAAATAATAAGTAATAATGTTCATAATTATAATAATAATTTGAGGACTCCGTTTCGTTCCTATCCTTAGACGGAGTATTGCGTTGTTTCTATGCCATCCCCGGAACTCTTCAGTAAGGAAGGATGGCCATAATTAAAATAACTCATCTTTCATATAAATTTTAAGCTTATATCAGAGTTTATATTTCAAACACTTAGTTCGAATCATTTGTTTAATAATTTTTGTTCTAACTAGGTTAAATCCAAATGTGTTGTAAAGATGATAATTTTATTGATTCTTATTGATTATTTTAATTATTTATCGACTTATCTGGGTCTTTTTCATTGACAGATTATAGTTTCCCACTCTCCTTGTTTATCTTCGTCCACTGCGGTTGGTTGTTTCACGTTGAACTTCTTTCTGGATCCGCTAGTCTTGTAGGAGATCTTCGTCGTGATTTCGTTTCATAAATGAATCTTCCCCAACTTGTCTAACTTGTTATTGCATGAATTGTTCATAATCATTATCGAATGGGTTTTAATTTATCTCGACTGCTCACAATGAACGGTGAGGGGTGAGTGCGATATTGATATTTCAATATATCGTCGGGAATAAAATTCTTCCCCTCTCCAACTTTCTGTACCCATGTTGAACGTTTCTCACTTGGTGGAGTCACACCTCATGGAGTACGTAAGATTGCGTATAATTTTCAGTTCTTGACTTCGAATCTTTATTGATTATGATCAGTTTTGATTCTCTCAATCGATATCAATCGTTTTCAAAAAACATAGTTAAACCACCAAAGTGAAGGTCTCTATCACTTTAAGCGTCACTTATGAAGTATCCTTTAATACTTTCTTCTTCGTGACTAAACTGTTAGTCCATTCAATTCTTTATCAAAGGGAATGACGTCAAACTTGCATAGAAAAATCGTCGCTTTTCGCTTTCATAATAGGTAGTTGAGTGTTATTGGGTATATTTTTTATAAGTGTTGACGGAATCCCACTTTTGTTCGATGCTTTATACAACATTAGAAACATTCCCCGTTTTGTTGTAAGTCTTTTTAATTCCCCATATAAGTTTCATGGATGTCTTGTAAGGGGATATCGGGTAATAGGGATCTTAAGGGTGTCTTGAGCGGTTCAAGTTCTTCATGTGTCCGTGTATACACTCTGTGTCCGGTACCTGGTTCTGAGTGGGGATTCCACAATAAGGTTGGCTCATTCGCATTGCGAATGAGCCATTGTCTTTTGTGAGGATTCGTTTTTATGTTAGTTTAGTTTGGTATGTATAAATGTAAATTATAATATTAACTAATTAATACTGAATGCTTTTTGATTTTATATTATTGTATGTAAAATTAGGAGCAATCATTTTTAAACATCGAAAATTTTTTTGAGATGAGAATAATTATCAATGTTGTATTTGTATAGTATAGATGTATTTTTATTTATACATTTATTTATACTAGCTAGAATTATATTTTTATTATAGCCGTTGTTTAAAAGAGTGTTAATCATTAGTAGTATTTTATCGGTGAAATCTGTCAAAAAAACGACAGATTGCGCGCCCCCCCCCCCCGAGAACGGGTCGCGAAATTTTTGAAAGTTACTTACATGAGTTGTAAATATGTTCAAGTGACTCTTTTATTTTTGTAAACAATTAAAATAATTTTTAAAAATTTTTTAAAATTCAAATTAGCGTTATAAAAAAATTTTTTTCGGGGGCGTGGTTAACGCCACGCCCCCATTTTCCAGATTTTAGGGGTTGGGGGCCCGCAGAAATTTTGAGAAGCCCCCCTAAAAATTTTTCGGAGTGCGTGGCTAACGCCACGCACCTTCATTTGAAAAAAATTTTTGCCGCGCCCCCCCCCCCGAGCCGAAATCCTGGGTACGCCACTGCTAGGTAGTACTAACAGGATGTGCTAATCCGCAGCAGCCTTTGCTAACAAAATTGGTATCACTGGATCTTGAAATGTTGAGTTCAATCTCCGTCCATATTTGCTAGATTTTCCCCGAGTTGTGGGCACGTGGCACAGTTACGCAAGATTAAATGACATACGGTATTGTCATACTTTGTGAAAAATAATGGCATACACCAAAGTTTGCGTTGCTCGCCATATCTCGGTCCAGAATGGACAATTTCTGACTCCAAGGTGCCATCCATCTCAACCTGAGGGCATCTTCTGATGAAAAGTATTCGACTGGGTACTGTAGGTATACAGTAGGTAGCCAGTTTTCTGCTGTTTACGGGAATTTGTCGGTTTGCTTATGGTAATTAGTCAGAGCACTAAATACAACACGTACTGATTGGTGGCGATCCGACGTTCGGGTTGGGGAGACGACAGAATTTTTTTTCCGAAGGAAAGCAATCCAAAATTTTTGCGGGCCCATGACCTTGAAACTAAAGATTCTTGCATGACTAATTTGGAAATCTAAAAGTTCTGAAAATTATCATGATTGACAAGTATAAACAAGTCACTTGCACATTTTCTGAACTCATGTAACTTGCTAAATTTTGCAATCCATCCTGGGCGGAGGGGGGGGGCATAATTCCTTCGCCACTAGTATATTATAAGCGATTCATAGCACGCCAAGAGTGCGGACGCATCGGCGTCTCTCTGAACTAGCGTTCTTTCGTTTCTCTCAGCATCCGCCATCTCTTCCATACGCAAACTATCTTGGTGCGACGCAACGGCCCCCCGTCTCTGCGTGTTTTGACTCGACGATACATACTTTAGCCGCTGCTGAAAGATGCTTATAATATACCTAACGTAATAAGACAGGTACCTCTAAAGCACATCGGAAGATGCATCTTGATGCCTCAAAGGTTTGAACACTTTTATCGTTCTTACTATTTTCAATTCGTGCCTGAAGCATTAGAACAAATAATATTCCAACTCTGTCTCGGGTACGAACTTGGACTACTCAAAGCTTTCAATATTTTTGATGCAAACAATCACTATAATGGCGTAGAAGATTCATTGCCGGTAAGTGAGGTAGAATCAGCATTTTATATTGATTTGTTACGATTAGCATTTTTTTGCGAAAGTTACCGCTCTGAGCATTCTCTTGCTAAAACAATAAACTCCAAAGATTTTTGTGTTTAGAAAATTGCTCAAGAGAATCGTCAACAAAGTGGAAGAAATGCCTCCTTGTCAGCGTCAGTGTTTGAATTCCCTGTACGACAGAATAGGAAGTGTTCTGTCCTCGAAAAATTACGCCGACAAATACCATAAAACCTGCTCGTAAGTTGTTGCCCAGTCTGTAACGCTTCGGTTGTAAAAGATTGTCTTTAGAGCGTATAAACATGCAAGAAAGTGTGCGAAAAAGCAACAAGAGCTTTGCAACGAAAGTGGAGAGATGTTCACGATGTTCACGTCTGGTATTCGTTACATGTGCATTGAGCAAAGCAAAGGTGGGTTGCTCATATTATACTCTGAATTTCCAAAGCGAAAGTTTTTCAGCTTTTGAGGCAAATCTAGAATGCATCGAGCGCAGTGCTTTCATGATTCAAGGACGTGAGTTTAGCCCTCACCCGTAATTTAATCATCTCCATATATTGCGTAAAACTATTTCTGACAATACCCGCTAATGTCTAAGCAGTAATAGAATTATACCCAGGCTGTTTCAACTGAGTGCAAAAATTTTAAAAGATGCTCCAAATTTCTCCTACAAGCCAGTAAGGGTTCCGACCCTAAATATTAGATTGGTCCGAAAGTTCTGTCTCACCATTTTCAAAAATTTGTAAATTTGCACTGTATCAACGGATTTGCTTGCTTGTAATTATATTAGAAAGAACAACTTTTTCGCTTTCAAATGGTTCTTTGTGGAGCTTCTATTTCACACTGGATGCGGAGATAAAAATGGAAAACTAAGACCATATAAGCTTTGACCATTTTAAGTTAGGTCACTGAAAATCGGGAACGCTGCAGAAAAATCTGAAAATCGTCAGTACATATGTTTTTTGACCTACTTTTGTATCTGTGAAAAAATTGTGCTGTTTGGACGTCTCTGTGAGAAGTTATGAATATCGAGTTTACTATGGAAAACGCCAAAATTAATTAATTTGTCAATTTTCGCGAAAATCATAACTTCTCACAGAGACGTCCAAACAACACAATTTTTTCACATATGCAAAGGGTAGGCCAAAAATCATATGTACTGACGATTTCAGATTTTTCTGCAGCGTTCCCGATTTTTGCTGACCTAACTTATAATGGTCAAAGCTTATATGGTCTTAGTTTTCCATTTTTATCTCCGCACCCAGTGCGAAGCGCAAGCTCATCAAAACAATTTTCGAAAGAGAAATATTTACTCTTCCTAATAAAAGTACAAGTAAGTAAATCCGTTGTGACAGCGCAAAGTTATGATTTTTCAACATTGAAACGACACTTTCGGACCGACCTAATATATTAGGTTGTAACATAAGTCTTGAAACAATCTTACTTCTTAAGGCGATAAGTCATGCTATTCAAATTTTCAATGAAGACCGAGGGTACCGTTCGATAGAGCAAAGCAAGCTCTACAAGATGGTATGCAAAAGTTCGCAGCAACTTCGACCCACTGTAAGTTTGCATCCAAAATTTGGGTCGCAGTGAAGGCTCAGAAAATCACGAAAAATTCATATCTTTGTTCATTAAAATCCTACGAATCTCCAACTTGCTCACAAAAGTTGCACACTATCTCAGACACTCATATGTACCGTTTCTGATTTTCTTCCTCGCTTAGAAATCGAGAAAACGAAAATTTTCAACTTTTCACAAAAACGAAGCTAAGCTGTCCAATCATGCAGTTGTATACTACAATCAGATTTCCACAAGCCCTAGTTTTCGAGAAATATTGATTTGAGCATGAAACACCCGAGCGAGGAGAGCTAAATTCGGTAATTTTCGAAGACTAGGGCTTGTGGAAATCTGATTGTAGTATACAACTGCATGATTGGACAGCTTAGCTTCGTTTTTGTGAAAAGTTGAAAATTTTCGTTTTCTCGATTTCTAAGTGAGGAAATAAATCAGAAACGGTACATATGAGTGTCTGAGATAGTGTGCAACTTTTGTGAGCAAGTTGGAGATTCGTAGGATTTTACTGAACAAAGATATGAATTTTTCGTGATTTTCTGAGCCTTCAGTGCGACCCAAATTTTGGATGCAAACTTACAGTGGGTCGAAGTTGTTGCGAACATTTGCATACCATCTTGTAGAGCTTGCTTTGCTCTATCGAACGGTACCCTCGGTCTTCATTGAAAATTTGAATAGCATGACTTATCGCCTTAAGAAGTAAGATTGTTTCAAGACTTATGTTACAACCTAATAAATGTGTACTTTACGCAGTGCTTCTTTAAAAGTTATGTAACGTAAACCTGTCTTCAATGTTCCTCGAAAGATGAATAGACCATTTAAAATGCCGAGAATGTAAAGGTTGACCGGGGAAGTAAGCGTTCGCGAGAATCCTAAACTTTTCCAAAGATCTTTTTAGAGTTTTTCTTTGGGAACCGTTCCAATCACGATACCGCTCTGTGTAAAAGTCCTACTTAATTTTATTTAGAGCCGGCATACATCAAGCGATATCATCGGCTCGCTATCCTCTCAACAAGACAACCGGTACCAGTTCATTGCATCCTGATCATCTTACATCTCGGTTGTGATAGTTTCCCGACATGACTAATGGCAACTAACTATCACAACCCATATGCAGATCGACATGCAACGAACTGGTAGAAACAGTTGTCTTGCTGGAAGAGTCGCGAGAGATGGAATTGCGTGATGTATGTGATACTTACCATATAATCATCTTCTTTGCAGATACTTATTCTTGTTCTTTTTGTTTTTTCCCGTTTTCCATCTTTCCTATACAACAATGCAGTGATGATCCTCTAAAGGGGAATTGCTTAGCTGTTCTTGAAGTCTTCAGATCTTTGCGCACTGTAACGGTTGAATTGAGATAGGCTTATCGATAGCTGCTTGTAGTTCCGTTCAGAAATTACTAGAAAAAAATGAGCACGTGACATTTAGTTGATGTAAATTGGCTATACTGGTATATAGCGTCCGCAGAAAAAAAACGTGTGTTGTTCCAATAAATTAGCTTCATGCTGTTTAGCTATACGCGATCGCATGTTAAGCAGAAATTGGGAGAAAGGGCTGAGAAGAGGGTGAGCTTTTGTGGAACAACCTATCGGCTTCTACAACACCGTAGCAAGCAGCTATAACAAGTATCCTGCAAAACATATGTCCATTTTGCAGAATGCGAGCATCAGTGCCGAACAACGGACTCCCCGATCAACGCAATCAGCTTATTCACATACTTGCAAAACTCCGGTGAGCGGCACCTCATATTTGTTTCAATATTTTAAGCGCAGAGATTAATAAATCACTATCAGGATTTCTCGGTTTCGCGGTGTGATAAGAATTCATCTTCATTGCAAAGTGTAAAAAATCTAACGATAGAAAGACCTAGAAAAAAAATAGTAGCTATCCGTCGGGGGCGAGCACATATGACTGAAAGTTTCAGTTACTTTGGTGAACAAATAGGTTCATAGAAAACACACATATTTCCCCTCGACAGTAAGTTTTATACGTAGAGAAATTTGGCGCTGCGGTCCGAGAATTTTTTTAGGGGAGAAAGCAGCGACGGTTTGTGAGAAGATGACGTTGGTAAGGTCATGTCTCGCTAACAGATTTTTGAGATGTCATTCAACTATTTGAGTGTCCTACCCTCAGAATTTGGAGAAAAACTGAGTGTGGATTCGCTTCTGGATTTTTTCGGGGCGTAGCAGAGCAACCACGCGCGAAGAATGTTTTGCTTGGCAGATTTGAATTTTGAAAAATACAAACAATTTCTTTTTGAGACTGCTTGAGCTGTGCACCGAGATTAGTAACTTCTTTATTGACTGACGTTTCGGCAATATCGCCTTCTTCAGAGTCTGAAATTGTCGAATGCATAGGTAATCTATCCTGCCAAAAACCGTATCAAGACTCAGAAAAGATGTTCAATGCGTCAGAAAACCAAGAGCTACAAAAGTAAATGCAGAATTAAACCAGTGCTCACCTAAACAGCTGATGACTGCTTGGTCAGCAGACCGTATACCAGTAACTAAACTCCAACAACTTTTATGGTACCCAGTGACCTAGCACTTGACCTCAGAAGCCACAAAGGCTCTGATAAGCGGCCAACTCATTAGTGATGGCTATGCACTCATCCTTTCTATTCAAATTTGGAATTTTGGCGGCAATCCAAAACGCTTCTAATGTCTTGCGCGCCAGGATTTCGGATTCGCGTGCTCTTTTGCTCTTTTTCTTCGTGCACAAAAAATTTCTTGAATCAAACCATTTCACCTTGGCCCTAGAAGGAGGAACAGGTTCTGAGTTGAGATGGTCAATATTTTTATTTTTTGTTTATAGGGTTGATAAATCCCATAGTTGATATGGGTGGAGGAACACAGCAAGGTACTACACTACACATATTCTCGTCCAGCGGAAATTCAGTGAGAGTTTCAGATATGTTTGACTCGAGGAGTGATTTCGATGAGATCACCTACAGTGCCTGCATGTTGGTGACGAGGAAAATACATTAGTCGATGAGTGCTCATTGCAGACAAGCTGAATGCGCATTGGTATGCATGGAAGGGAAATACGACATGTTCTGTGAGCATAGCACTGGAATGCTGTTATCTGTGAGTATTATCGAGAGGATTTGCTGATTTTTGGCGACGTTTGTGAAAACAAGATCAACTGCAAACGCGCTCGCGCCTATAAATTGGCGTAATATTGGTTAGCAACGATGTTACAAGTAATAGTAGTATTTATGAGTAGTAAATCAGAGTTTTTGATTAACACCGGCTTGGAATTCCTTCAGACATTGCACCGCGGTAATATCGATTAGCACTGAGTAAGAAGAATTATTAGATAGTTAAAAAAGTGCTCCAATAAAGGTTGAGTTATGTTTTATTTATATATTCATCAGAAGCGGCTTCAATTATATTTTGGTCGTGTGTACTGAAACCTCAGACTATCGATTAGGTTTACCATGGATGCTATTATTTAAGAAGCTCGCTAGATGCACTTCGAGACAGCTGGAATCTCGGTTTTACATCATAGAAGTGTTCTCGCTTGAAGGAAGACCCAAGTACCCTAGCAAGCAATAGTCGGAAGTCGCCATATTTGACGAATACGGGGGGTCTAGCACAGATTACAAACCGAGCTTCTGCAAGGCGGGCCTATCAATTAAAAAAGTGCCTTTTTGCAGCCCCTAGAGCAATGGATTACGGTCCTTTTTGGAGTATTATCGTATGAAGCGTAATTTAAGCAGGCACGCGCACCGAGAACACATCTCAACAGGAAGGCTTCCCAAGTCAGCTCGGCCAACCCGGATGAGTCATATATCACCGTAACGGGCTCGAGACGCTGATTCCAAATCTGCCGTTTCCAGCTGCGGAGCGGTCCTGCACGAGAAGTTATGGGTGGTGTTTCCCTCCAGAGTTGAGGCACCCGTCAAAGGATCCAGTGCTCCAAAACCATTTACAAGCCCAAATTTACATTTTGCAAAAAATTGCAATAAAGTTACAATAAACGGTATTCGGACCCGTGACCCTCTGCCTATCGAGCAAGACACTTACCACTACACCAGACGACCACGCGACTCCTATATAGCGCTCATAAACAAGGGGAGGCAAGTTGACGGGTGCCTCAACTCTGGAGTGAAACACCATCCAGAACTTCTCGTGCAGGACCGCTCCGCAGCTAGAAACGGCAGATTTGGAATCAGCGTCTCGAGTACGTTACGATCATATATGACTCATCCGGGTTGGCCGAGCTGACTTGGGAAGCCTTCCTTGTCAGTCCAAAGCTGATTTCGCATTTTTCCAAACGAGTCAGAATCTTCTGTACTAATCGAAGTCGGTTATTCTGGATATGAGATTTGCACTTTACTGTAATGCTTCTTTCGTAAGTTATTTCAGGTTCGGGGTAACAGCTGTTTTTCCAATGTTCGTCAGAAGTGTGACTACATTACTGAAAAAGGCCCGAAACTGGTGAATAGTTGTGTAGCGAAATCAACACCCTGAAAGTCTTGCTACATGAATTTCCAGATTTTTTTTTATTGAAAGGCCTATTCCACAGTGGCGCTTATACTGTAAGTTCATATTTTGATCCTACAGTAATGAAGAGGATGATTCGCTCCACACTGTAAATCTATAGGAAAGGAAGGTTAGTCGAAGTGGGCCTCCAATATGAGATGGATACTGCCTTGAAGGTACGAATCACTGATTCCAAATCTGCCCTCCTTATCTGGTGCGGGTTTTTTGAGCGAAAGTTACGAAGGTTTTTATGAGCAAAATTTTGCATGTGCAGCTGGGTAAAAAACAGTTGTAACATTTTTTCTACGGCTCGTAATTTTCGGGATACTCTGTGCAATGAATATTTTCATTTCAAAGAGATCCACTTAACGCTACCGCTTCGGAAGGCTAGGATAAAGTCAACGACAGATACATTGATCATGCATTAAATTCTTTGCCTGTAAAAACCTTCAAAACTCCTTCCGAAGAATAACGCAGCAGGGAATAAAGATATATTTGGAATTGTTTCGTACTCTACAGTCAATGTATTTCTCATGCAGAAAGGCCACTTCGGCTAACCTTCGTTTTCATGTAAGTTGAACCTCGCTCTACAGAATGGTATGTCAATCTCGGAGAAAGACACCCATTTCCAAATTTGATATTGATCGCTAAAAACCCCTAATGTATACGATAAAATACTGCATATATTAGGTCGTTCCGAAAGTTCTTTCCGTTTCTCCAACCTATCATAAAAAGACGCGGAATGAAGGTAGGGAAACGCTTTGGGCACTATACGACGCAGCTTTTCTTCCTCTTTCTAGCAGTCGTACTCCCATGTCGCTTACTTTTGTGATCACTGAGATGATGGCCGAAATTTCGAACCCATGGTTTTTACCATGTCCAACATTGGCAATTTTTCACAATCCTCTTTTTTGACTTTTGGGAAAGCTTTGATAACAGCCAGATAGAGTAAACGAAGTGCAATACAATGCAATTTTTTCGCATATCCAGCTGGCCTTTCAGAATTTTTTGAGATAATTTTTCCAAAGGTCTTCTTTTTTGCAAAGTCCCAAAGTACAGAAACGCCCCAAACACTGGCAAATCTACAGATTTTGAAGCTTTCAAAAGTCAATTACGATTATCCACAATTTTTAGAAAGCAACTGAGCGTTTACCGCTTGGAAATATAAGGTTTCGCATTTTAGGTGTACAGGCTGGGGCCGGTTCAAAATCAAGAATTATGGGAACTTTATCGCCAAAGGCCCCACAAATTGGAAAGAAAATATATTCATTAGAAAGAGAAGGAAAATCCGCATCGAATGGTACCTTAGTTGTGCGCCGTCTTATGTTCTATGGCTCTTGGCATCCTCAAAAATGGAATTTGATAGCATCAGGAAAATAATTCTAAAAATTTTTTGAAGTTAGCTATCAACGCCGAAAAATTGCATTAAATTGCACTTTGTTTACTCTATCTGACTGTTATCAAAGCTTTCCCAAAAATCAAAAAAGAAGACCTTTGGAAAAATTATCTCAAAAAAATACTGAAAGGTCAGCTGGATATGCGAAAAAATTGCATTGTATTGCACTTCGTTTACTCTATCTGGCTGTTATCAAAGCTTTCCCAAAAGTCAAAAAAGAAGATTGTGAAAAATTGCCAATGTTGGACATGGTAAAAACCATGGGTTCGAAATTTCGGCCATCATCTCAGTGATCACAAAAGTAAGCGACATGGGAGTACGACTGCTAGAAAGAGGAAGAAAAGCTGCGTCGTATAGTGCCCAAAGCGTTTCCCTACCTTCATTCCGCGTCTTTTTATGATAGGTTGAAAAAACGGAAAGAACTTTCGGAACGACCTAATATATATATCATATAGTGTAAAAATACTACACAGATCGAAACGCTGCTTTGAGTATTTTTCATTAGACTTTCTAGAATTTTTCGTGTATGCTACCCTGATAGTCGCGCTCAAATGGTGCATAAGGAAGCAGAACAAGCTTCTAAGAATAAGAAAATTAAGTTTCTCCAAGTAAAGTACCTTTGCTGCAGGAGGCAATAGTCCGTCCTTTGGCGTGGAGCCAGCGGATGTTCCAGCAGGAATACCGTGCCCTTGGCATGATGCTCCCAGAGAGTTGCAAGTTTCTTTCAGAGTGGGGATAATGACATTCGTCTAGAACTGAAGAGTCACATGTACGCTTCAGCGGCACGCGCATGATTCGCCACCGAATGGATGCATCCATACACGCTGACTTGCTGAGAAAGTTTGGAACAACCGACGAAGTTTGTTCAGTGTATTGAGCTTTCAAACTGTTAATCAATCTTTAGGAAGAAGGCCCTGAAGACGCAGATTTCGCCGAAGAAAAATCAAATAATGATTCACCCACCTATGGTGACGTAGACGTAGAAGAACTTGGTTCGTTTTTCTATTCTTATAAGGCCTAACTCTCGTTTGAGAACGAGTTGATTGCTTTGATGCGATCCCACGTGGTCAAGAGCGGAGCTCCGGAAGATTTGCACATATTTATTATATGATATTCTCACATAATCACTAATACTACCGTTAAAAAATAAGGTATTTAACTATCATAAAAAAACCTGTGGTAAAAGCAAGCAAAGGATTTAACATTTCAACGCACTCTCGCTCCTCTTTTTGGAATCATGTTTCTTGTTTCTGAACTGGTTACTTTTACCCTGTCATATACGTAATAGATTCGTAGGCACTCTGCTTTAGATGGCCTCTTCCGTATGTTACAATTGAAGTGCGATTTGAGCTTGGTTGATTTTACGAGGTCTACATTAGGCACCAGCGCAAATCACTTCGATGTCTCTGGCAAAAACACGACAATGGAAAGCGAGGAACGGAGAATTGTCTTTAGAGTGCCTTTAGCTACCACACCAACTTACTCAGTATTAACCGCAAACACAACAGGTAAGCACCACCATATCCTTGATTTCCAGTAGCTCAAGCGCACATTTACCAAAGTTCGGAAAAGTTTGAACCGAGCTTGTCACCTTCTTTGCAGTGATGGCAGGACTCGGCAGGAGCTGGCACCAGGAGAATTACAAAACGAAGTTGACTTTGAAAAATTTCATACGAAGTCCCTTTTGACCCTAAACCATAGACGTAAAAAACCCTGAAAAAAAAACAACACGTCGAGTAAAAAACGTCCAATTTTTATGTCTTTTCGGCCACAAAACAATATCCCCTTTGCTTTTTGTTCCAAAAACAGCTTGACCCGGTGCCAGCTGTCCCGAGTCCTGAGTGGTGGTAAGAAGTGAACTCTTTTCTTGATAACAGACTGATGTGAGAATGTTGAGAGTGCTGAAAATCGAAAATTGTGCAAATGACCATAGAGTATTGACAGTGAATTGATCACATTAATGTCCTCAAGCTGCTTTTCAGGTGTCCTTCACTGCGGTGTCGTTCGAAGGCAAGAAACTTAATGGATCTTACATTTAATCCGCCCTCTTTGCAGAGTTGGACTTTTTGATTTTGATTTTTGATTTTTTGATTTGATTTTGATTTTTGATTGATTGATTTTTTGCGCATTCTAGATTTTAATAAAAGTATAGTCGTTCTAAATTCTTTATGCCAATTTTATCATGAAGTTCGATGAATGAATGTTACCAATGGAAAAAGGAAACCTAGTGCAAAAGGGGATGGCAAATGGATTTCTTCGCCTCTTCAGAATTTTTTGTGCTGAAACCAATATTTTTATTGAGATTTTTGAAAATAGGGAGATGATGCAAAAAACTAGAGAGTTTGGAGCTTTTCGAAGCATATCTACTTAAATACGGTATTAAATGAGAAAAAAATACTAGGACGAAAATGCGACCGAACGTACTATTACGCAGTCTAGTACGACATTCGTCTTATGAAGTTCGGTATGTAATGAGAACCTATAAAATAATCTTTGTAGCATTAAAGCTTCATATAAAGGTAAAGTGACATACGCATCACGCGCGATAGAAATAATCGGTTATCAAAAAGACGGCAATCCCAAGTGATTTTAAAGTTTACCAATAAGTCTAGTTGATTCAGTACGGCAAGGTTGAGTGACGAATGAGAATCAAAAATTTTTGCGAGAATACAAGATAGATGATTGTCGGCAAAGCTATGTGTCGGAACGCACGAGCCTTTCCTATCCTCTTTTTACGAAATCTCGCTTCCATTTTCGGAAAAATCCTCCTCGTAGTTAGCTTCACAAAGATAGCGTAATTCTACGGATGTCAGTTAGACAAGCATAGATTGCCACGAAGATGAGAAAAAGAGCTCGACGGGTAGAGGACTATATGTCGCCGAAAAAGGGCGGTCCCCGGGGTCATTTGCGACAAATACGCACCCTTGTACATGCGCGGACAAGCGTTCCTGCAGGGAATCCGCGCGGGACTCTTCCAAATTCGGCGACATATAGTCCTCCACCCGAGCTCGACCACTCTTTCGAACTTGCAGTTCCCTGCTCCATCGGGTGAAGCATTGCTTAGTGCGCCAGCACACCACAAAACAGCCTTATTACATTAGAAGTCTCTTTAATCGGAGTGGCCTATCCAAATGAGCCCCAAATCACTATGAAAAGTATTGAAGGCTGGTTTTCAAACCTATTTTCTTTTTTTGCGGAGCAACACTCCGATAGAAATCATGAGCGTTCAAATGTCCAATATTGTCAAGCTTCAAGTACCATAAAATTAGCGAAAAGCTTTACGCATTTGCGAAAACGCATGAAATGGGTGATCAATTCTGTATCAGGTATGTTACTCACAAGGAAGGAACAGGAAGGAACACAGTTAGTGGGGATTTGCATATTATTTATATAGATTTTGCTGATTTTATGCCATTTGAAGCTTGACAAATTTGGACATTCAAATGCTCATAACTTCTTTCAAAAAGCTGTTCTGCAAAAAAAAAGAAGGCAGATTTGGAATCAGCGTCGAACTTGCATCTAGCGAAATACATCTCGTCTTCATTCTCCAGCTCAAGTTGGTATCCTTCCCTCATTACTGCTGCAATGTGTCATTGTCTAAAGTACTAGTTCCCATCATTGATCTTCTTGTAAGCGGTTTATAAGATCACTAGCTATCAAAAAAAGTCTGATCACGTCAGGATTTGATCTTGGGACATATTGCTTTAGGCAGAAGCGTTGTCCATGCACCTGCGGCCGGTTGTTACAGAACAGGAGGTGCAGTACCTCATAAACCGTAAAAAGATGACTATCACCGTAGTCCGCTACTCTCGCATCATTATATTTTTCAGAGTGGACGAATCTTGAAAGAAGCAGCATTCAATACAGCTCAACACAGCATCTTATATATAAAGCTGAATGTCTGTTTGTATGTCTGTCTGTCTGTCTGTCTGTATGTCTGTCTGTATGTCTGTCTGTACGTATGTTCCGAATAGAAAATTCCATTTCTGAATCGATCTGGACCAAACTTGGCACAGATACACTTCGGACCCCGGCGGGTGTCATAGGCTACTTTTCGTCATCGATCGATATCGATTTTATCGATTTTTTGCAAAATTTGAGCTACGGGGCTGGGAGTTGGCACAAGAGGGTTATCGAGCATGCTGATTACAAACATAATAATGACAGGGCCGGGCGGAGCCGGGTAAGTCAACTAGTATTCTCTAATTTATAGAAATGCTCGTCTGGGAGGTTTAATAGATATATAGCAGAAAGTCATTTCCAGCAGCAGATAATGTATGTACTCTCATCATCAGCAAACTGAGTAACCCATCTAAGCGAAATATCCAAGGAGATTAGTGAAATACCCACCGTAACCTACGTATCATGACAGCTATTCTATCAGAAAATGCGTTACGTCAAGCTTGAGACAAGATATGTCAAACACAAATGTCGCGGACTATGGTGACAATCTTGTTTTTAGAGACTTACAACTGGAGCGATATTATGTTGCACGTGCTGTGTCTTGCACGTGCTTTTGTTCACGGCTACTGTGATTGCTTTAGCTGGTACTATTATAAGGGTTGCATTTGGTAGTACCCAGTGTTTTCGTTTAGAGGGGGGGGGATGAGGGGCGAAATCGAAAAAGTGTGCGTGGCGTTAGCCATTTAGGATGCTTCAGAAAATTTTTGCGATTTCATGACGAAGTTCTACTCAGACAATTCCAAGTGTCCAGGGAAAACTTAACTTTTGAAACGGAGGAGCTCCTAATGGGCCGAGTGGGTGGGCCGCGCCCTACCTGGCAGCCGCAGTAGGAGACCTCCCCCCCTCCCTGAAGTTTTAAAATTTAAGTTTGCCCCGTAAGTCACTTGCGATTGTCTGAGTAAAGCAAAGGGGAGTGTGGCGGCAGCAAAAATCTTTTCAGAGGCTAAGATGAATTCCAATTATCTACAAGTATAAGCAAGTCACTCATACATTTTATAACTCCTCCTCCCCTCTCCTCGCCCTCGATGCGCCACTGGTACCACCCTAGGAACGGATGCACTGCCATTAACATTTTGGTTGGGCTACTGTAAGCAGTTCAGTTGCCTTCTGTCAAGCTCAGAAGAGAGAGAACGTCATATTTTTTGTGGCGATTGCAAGAGCTGATCTACAATGTTGCTGATACCAGTACATGATTGAAGGCAGTGTCCCGGCAAAGTAATGGTCACTGAGATTCTACTTTTGCAATGGTAGACCCCAACTCACCTATCAGTGAAGTCTGGAGCGCAGAAGCGAACAAGCTCTATGGAAAGCCTGAAATCCACTCCGGAGGTCTTCTCCGGACCTAGCCTATTTCGCATTTTAGCTTCGAAAAGAAGCGTACTTTCGCCATTCTCATGCGCTGAAAAGCCCAGTTATGGGTTTAGCATAGCGAGTGCTCCAAAAAGGTAGAAAACTGGAGGGCGAAATTTTGCCGGCACACTGCCTTCAACGTATGATGATCTCCAAGACCAAGGTAATCACATTATCAAATACTTTTACGAACATTTTGGAATCGCATGCCTAAAAAAATTGGTGAATCGAAGTTCAGTCGAATCCTTCTCAACTTTTCAGCGAGGTCATGACTTGTTTTCAGATCATAATTTCAAAATCAATCTATGCGGCAGTTCTCTATAATCAATGACGATGCTGGGTTGTGGATGCTAACGCTTCTATGGCTCTTTGTGTACTGAGCTCTCATCTTCCCTACCAATTCACAATCATTTTATTGATGTGTTCCGATGAAACATAGTGACTGCTTGATTTCCTGCAGGTGGTTCAACGAAATGGTAAATTTCCCAGATTTTTGGTCGCCTCTTTTGTGCTCGGAGTAAAGCTTTACAAAAGATATTTCACATTCTAGCCAAATCTGAACCTTATTATTAAGTGCTACATCATTCCCATTATACAGAGCATTCCAAAAGAATTGTGCACTCTGTTTGATCGTTAATAAGTCTCTTGTGTTGATGTCTTTCGGCCAACTTTAGGTTTCATTTTGTAGAGCAAGGCTCAAGTCAGATTTGCCGTATACAGCGAATCAGCGGTCGATCTTCATTAATGTAGTGGTAAAAATATTAAGAGCTATATTTTGGTATAAAAAGAGAACCAAACAGCCAGAAACTCTTATACCGGGCTAATCAAAGGCGCTGATTTCAATATGAAAGTTGCATTTTACTGTATTGCTTTTTCATTAAATATTCCAGAGATATCGTAACAAGTGTTTCTCCAATGTTCGTCAGAAATTTGTTCAAAACCACAAAAGCTTAAGAAGTCGTAAAAAATTGTGTGATGAAATTAGTATGCGCAAAAACCCTCCAAGGAATGTTCCAGATTTTTTGAAAAAAATTGTCAACGGCTCTTTTTACAATGGTTTTACAGTATAGTGAAAGTTTTTACCGTAATCCTACAGTAGTGAGAAGCGGTCGCTGATTTGCTCTAAATTTTTCAAATCAAAGTTAATCTCTAAACAACTGTATCTAAAGTTCGACGCAAGACATCAAAGCAAGAGAGTTAATGAAGCTCAAACACTGTGCACATTTTTTGGAGCACCCTATATATAGTTCCAATTACTAGCTAAACTGCCATATTGCTATACTCTCCTAATACTGGAAATGCGCTGATATAACACGAATAATCAGCGAGAAGAAGAAACACTCTTTTTCTACCTCAAATGGCTATTGCTGAGTTTATTGTCACAAGATCACAATGCTAACGAATCCTTTGGAATTACCTGCCTTCAAACATGAGGTTTTTTGCAAGTCTTGAAATTAGAAGCGCTGAACGGTGCAAATCACTCCAAAATCTTAATTTTTTAGAGCAGATTTGGAAGTGAGCTTTCTGTGATTTTCATTAGGTGTTGCACGGAGATTGTTATAGGGGAGTTTAATGGATGGTAAATAATTTTGTTGAATGATGGTTAATCTCAGATCTCACAAAGAGCACGCAATACTAGCATGTTGCACACCGCAGAGAATACAAGTGAAATGATTTCAAACTCCAGAAGAGTTCCTTTGTCAAATATGGTTATTTCTATTCTCTCAACTGCTACTAGGATTCCAAGAGTACGTTGCGTGGACTGGAAGCAGGGGGGGGGGAATGGGGAAGGGGTTGGAAGAGAAAACATACATTAAGCTGGCAAAGGTTCAGGTGTAACCTCAATTTTGGCAGTCACACACTGTGTTGCGTAATTCGCTCAAACTTTATTCATCTACTCATTTTTGGTCTCAGCAATTATTCAAAGCCCAGAAATTCTAACCAACGCGAAGATTAATGACCTAATGATTTAATTTCTATTAAGATTCGCCTATTACAGATGCTAACCTTACTAGCAGGACTGCTCGCCCTATATGTTCTACCAACACTGACCATACCATTGCGTCATGCTGAGGTAAGCACATGCAAGCAGTTCAGAATTAGAATAGAAATATTTCTTTCATATCTAACAAGGGAAGGATACTAACCTAGATTCGCCTCTTGAGATGGGACATATATATTTGGAATCAGCTTTGAACTTACTTAGATACTTAGACACTTAGATGGCCCGGCTTCACGTGACGTGCGGGCCCCAGTACAGAAGTCGCCATTGATCCCTGTCCCTCGCTTCGGACATCCACAATCTTCTTGGCTGACGTCGGTGGCTGCGTCCACGAGTTCCAGGTGCAAAAGTCGTATCCAGCTGATTTCTCAGCTGGTCCATCCGTTCCACGAACACGTCTGCCCATCTCGTTGGAGGTCTTCCTCGGGGACGTTTGGCTTCGCGAGGAATCCACTCCGATGTTCTTAGTGTCCATCTGTCGTCTGTTCTTCTCATTATGTGACCGGCCCATCGGTGTTTGGCTTTCGCGACGTATTCCGCTGGGTCACGAAGACGGGACATTCTTCTCATATCCGTGCTGCGAAGTCCGACTAGATGTTGCTTGCGTCGGGTCATCTTCAGAAGACTGCGCTCGAGCGCTCTGTGGGTGGTCCGTAGAGCTTTCGACGTGGCTACAGTGTCGGCCCAAGTCTCAGCTGCGTAACAGAGCGCCGGGAGAACGGTTGAGTCGAACAGGTGGGCACGAAGCTCCGGGTCCGTCAGTTGGTCGGTGGCTTCCTTCAGGGGCCCGAAGGCGGCCCAGGCTGCTCTTCTTCTCCTGTTGAGTTCTTCCCTCAAGTCGTTCTCCATGTTCATCGAACGTCCGAGATACACGAAGGAAGACGTCTCCATAATCGGGGTGCCTTCCAATTCCATTTCTGCATCTTCGCAAAGGGCGTTCTTCATGAACTGAGTCTTCTTCCGATTTATTCGCAGTCCGATCTTCTTCCCTACTTCGTTTAGTTCCTTCAGCATCGTCTCTGCTTCGGTGATACTGCTCGAGAAGAGAACGATGTCGTCCGCAAAACGAAGGTTGGACAGGAATCTCCCATCAACTCGTATGCCTCTCTCGTCCCAGTCCAGTGACTTCATCACCCACTGCAAGGCCGCGGTGAACAGCTTCGGCGAGATTGTGTCGCCTTGTCGGACCCCCTTCCCGATTGGTATGGTCAGGGGGCGATGGAATAGCTGCATCGTCGTTGTACAGTCCTTGTAGCAGTCGGCTAACGTCCTCACGTAAGCTGGGTCCACTCCTTGATCGACTAGCGCAGACAGGATGGCGTTGGTTTCGACGCTGTCGAAGGCTTTCTCGTAGTCGACAAAGGTTAGGACGAGAGCCAGTCGGTACTCCCGGCAGACTTCTATGACCCTCGAAACGGTCTGGATGTGGTCCATGCAGCTGAATCCTTTGCGAAATCCAGCTTGTTCTTGGGGTTGGGCTTCATCCAGTGTCCTTGATATGCGAGCGAGGATAACCTTCGTGAAAAGCTTGTACAGCACACTCAGCAAGCATATTGGACGATAGTTCCGAAGATCCTCCCGTTCACCCTTCTTGAAGAGAAGGACGGTTCTTGACGTTCTCCACTGGTCGGGAATCTTCTCCTTCTGAAGGTAAGATGTCAAATGCGACGCTAGAATCTCGTGTAGACGGTGTCCTCCGGCTCGCAGAAGTTCGACGGAAAGATGATCTGGTCCTGGAGCCGTGGACGTCTTCATGGTCTGTATCGCGATACGCACTTCAGCAGGTAGAATTCGTGGTGGTACTTCTCCAGTGGGAACAACGGGCATCTGCACGGGTGTTGATGAGCGGAAGAGGTTGGTGTAGAAGTTCTTCGCGATAGATTCCATCTCGTATCGGGAAGAAGTCGGAGTCCCGTCTTCGTTCAGTAGTGCAGCCAGCGGTACGTGATATTCGCAGAGGTCCCTTCGGCACTTCTTGAGACTTCGTCTTCTTTCTGCTGCTTCCAGTATCTTGGCTTGCCTGTACTTCCTGAGATCCTCTTGCAAAGCTGTTCTGCAACTGGTGTTGGCAATCAGTCGCTCGAGATGAGTTGCATTCGGATCCTGCCTCAATGATCTTCTTCTTTCGAGCAATTCCTTGGTGGTCTTCGAGATGCGGTCCAAGTTCTTCTCAGAAGTCACTGAGGCGCATTCTCCGCAGGCTCGCAATCCTTTCAGAAGCCGGTCGTAGTCGTACGTTGGGTCCTCCTCGATGGGCCAGTCACAATTTGATATGAGCTCTTCCAGCCTGTTACCGTCATAAACGACTTCCTTCCTTCTCGCGGCACTATGACAGACTTTCTTTTCCAGCCTTCGGCTGAGTCGTATCTTCGCTCGAAGGAGGCGGTGATCGGAGCCACTACAGAAGGATGGAACTACAGAGACATCGAGTAAGCTCCACCTTCGGTTGGTGAGAATGTGGTCGATCTCCGCGTGGGTCGTTCCGTTGGGCGATTCCCATGTCCACCGGCGATGTTCCTTCTTCATAAAGATGGAATTTCCATGGAAAAGTCGTGCGGCGGAGAGAAGCCCAACAAGACGGTTACCGTTTTCGTTCCGGAGCCCATATCCAAACTTCCCGATCCTATATTCCTTTTCTAGTGGCATCCCGATTTTCGCATTGAAGTCGCCCACAACATACTTGTAGAAGGACTTTTCGTTGCGGACGACCTCCTCCACGTCTTCGTAGAAAGCATCTAGTTCTGATTCGTCAGCTGCTGATGTTGGAGAATAGCAGTTGATGATGCTGATGGTCTTCTGATGTGGAGGTCGTAGTCGTAGGATGCCTAGTCGAGGTGATAGGATCTCGTGCGAATCGACAAGATGGACGATAGATGGGTGGACGACAAAGCCGACGCCTCCCACGTTTCGTGATGGAACCTTTTCACCACGAATGATGAGGGTCCCATCACTCATCTGTCGCACGTCCTTCTTCCTGGACTTCGTTTCCTGCAGAGCAATGATGTGGTAGTTGATGTGCTCTGCAGCGTCGAGAAGAGCGTGGAGGTCGGCGTTTGTGGAGACTGTCCTGGCGTTGTAAGTGCAGAGCATGAGGCAGTCTCCATGGCGTGTCGTCCGGGCAGACGTGTCGTTTTTGTCCAATCCGAAAGGCGCCCTGAGTACCCTGACATCGTTCTTGCTACCACCCGGCGCCGTAGGCGGGATCCGATGTACAGGGTTTTTTCTAAATCTTCTTGCTGTCTGAGTAATAAAATTTGTTCCCCTACAAGAGGTGGCTTACTAGGCCTACTCTTGATTTCCACGGGGTGATCGCTGACCCCGGGCTTGGAGCGGGGAGGGACCGCCTAGCGACCAGAAGAAGCCAGACGGCGGAGAATCTGGCGCGGCCAGTTCTTAGCTAGGCATCCGGCCGAAACCGGAAACGTCGAACTCCTTCACAGCTTGGGAGGCCCTACCAGAGTATACACTCGGCTGTGCATCGCAGTTCGACACCCAGTGTCACCCCCACGCCACGATGAGGCGACCGACCATTGTGGGGGATCAGCTTTGAACACTGATTCCAAATATGTTGTTCCTAGCTGCTTAGCATTATTTCCGAAGCCAGTTATGAGCTTGCTGTTGTGAGTAAGTAACAAACTTCTGAATGTCGTGAGACGGCGTGTGGATAAGAAGTGCTTGAAAAAGTGCTAGGATGTTGAAATAGCATCAAATTAATTCTTTCGATTTTGAAAGAGAGCATTATACAAAACCACCTAGACGTCGACACCGTAGCGTCAGTAGGTCGAGAAGCACGCAAACTTTGCGTAGAAGAGAGACCATAACTCACTTCAGAATAGTGCTAAGCAGCTAGGAACAGCATATCTGGAATCAGCGTTCCAAGCTGATTCCAAATATGTGTGTCTCACCTCATAAGGCAAATCTAAGTTAGTATCCTTCCATTGTAAGCAGCGGAATGCGATTTTTAAACTGATTTTGTTGAAACTAACTATTCGAGCAAGATCATGGACAGCTGGCTTTATATGTTTCATATGAAGAAAAACCAAAACCAAATTTTGTGAGCAACAGAATCAAGATGGCAACAAATTGTGAGCTCACATGATTATCTATTTATTTATATGAGCTATAGCTATATGCCCTAATCTTTGCGCATAATTTCCCACAAAGGTCTACAATAGTATGAAAAAACTAGGACCTAACTACAGCGGCCTATGACAGAATCCTCAAATAATCAGTCAAAATTGTGCTCGTACTCTGGCTTTCTCGTTCTTTGCTCATGCTAAAAGCTTTATTTTTGAAAAGTGAATAGAGCAGCTTTGAAATGAAGCGTTGGTAATGGCAAATATAGTTGACTGCACAAAATCACCCAGACTGAACGCCCGCGAGCGTTTCTCCCTGCGCGCTAATACTGGCATTCGCGCGTGTGCGTCACAGCGCCTGCACTTGGCAGCCGCGTTTCAGGCACGCTCGCGTGCACTCAGCCTACAAGCTACATGGGCGATTTCGTGCGGTCGACTTTAAGATCTTTTCCAACCCGGAGTAGGCGAACATTCCAAATAGCAGCGCGTACGTACCGCCACTGGCTTAGCGAAAATGAAGATTCGCAGACTGCGAAACGACGCGAATCGTTGCTAGGCGGACTTCCGCTAGTCCAATTTCCTCCTAAACTGACAAGGGAAGCGTGTCGGGTTCAGTCAAGTGGCCTTTCCACAACTCACCTATATCACTTTGTAGAGCATTAAACGGTGACTTTGAACCGTCTTCATTATCTGCCAAGCACCTCTGAAAGCCGAGCTATGAGCGTTTTTTACGTCGAAAAACTGAATGCGCAACTGACAAGGGAAGGATGGTCAGTCGAAGTGGCTTTTTGCGATGATTTGTAAACCATGTTGGAGGGCATAAAACGCTGACTCCAAATCAGTCCTCCTTATCTGCGGCCCGTTCCTGCACGAGAAGCTAAGAGCTTTTATAGGAGAAAAAAGTGGGTGAGTGACTTTTCATACGATGAGCAATTCCGAGGTGCGAGGTGTGAACACCTACGGCTAAGTGTCAAGTCTCGCACCTCCGTGTCTAGT